GTTAAAAATAATTACGTGGTCACTATAAAAACGTTTTTTTTTTTTTTTAGTTATTAAAGGGATGACACGCACGCACGCACGCACACGCATGCACACACCCCCACCTTTTATTAACTATAAAATTATTTAAAAAATTTTTTATTGATAATATTCGGGTAACGTTCGCAGCAGCATCGTTATTAAAAAAAAAATGAAAAAAAAACGAATGATTATATTATTATTATTATTATTATTATTATTATTATTATTCATTAATTAATTAATAATTATTAACCTTACGGTTTAATAAAAATTTATTAAAATTAATTATTTAAAAATTCCTCTTTTTTTTTTTTTGTTTAAAATTATATAAATATCAACTATGTATATAAAGTTATTTTAATATAATAAATATGATATCACTTTTTAAATAAGCGATAACGTTTTATCATTATTATTATTATTATTATTATTATTATTTAAAAGTATTATACGGTCACTACAACGCAACTACTAATATGTCCGACGTGATTTTTTTTAAAAAAAAAATTCATCGTCAGAATATATTTTGTTTATTATTAAAACATACTTTAACAACAGTCAATAATATTTTTGACTGAATTTAATTAATTAATTAATTAATAAAAAATATAAATTTTTTTTTTATAGTTTTGTTTGTTTGTTTGTTGAGTTAGTAAGAGAATTAAAAAAAAGAGATAGAGAGAAGAAAAAAAAGAAACGGGTCATTAGAAGAAAAAATTACAAAAGAAAAAAAAATGGAAAATATTTATAAATATATAAATACGTATGTATGTTATGTAAAAAAAAAAAAAATTGAATATCTTGCCTGCGATTTTGATGATTTATTGATTGATTGATGAATTGATTGATTGATTCATTCATTTATTGATTGATGTGTTGTATATCCGGTTTATTGTATCCTTATTAATAAGTATCCATTTGAATAATTTTTTTAAATCACTTTCACTTGATATTCACAAATCGTATACAATATCAAAATCAATCGTGTGATGGTTCTTGGTTCTCACATACGCACGCGCACACACACTACTATTCTTACACACTTTAAATAATTTTTTTTTTATACGAACGATCGTTTTTTTTTTATTGCGAAGAACGTAGAAATGTAAAAAAAATAATAATAATATTTATATATATGTATAAATTACGAAAAATAAACTTAAAATAAACTGACTCACTTATTATTTTTTTTTTCCGTTACTATAAAAAAAAAAAAAGAAAAGAAAAGAAAAAGAAATTATAAAACCACTTGTATTATTGAGCTCGTCACATAATAATAATAATAATATCATATCTTAAATAACAACAAAGAATTAATTAAAACAAACGGCCGGAATTACGTGACGATAATATGAGGCGCTGAAAAAAGCACTGCTATGGTCGCAATGATGGTGAACAAGGTAAAGATGATGAGGCACAGACGGTCTACGACCATCGCGGCAAACTTCCAGTCATTTGTTATTTCCGCAGCTTCATCTTCTTTTCTCAATTTATCCGTTATGATTCTGAGCTCTTTTAATATAAGAGCAAGCTCTCTGTGTGGTCCCAAACAGGAACTCGGCAAAAGAGAGCCGCTGCTTTCGTCGTGATGCGAATGACTACGAAGGTATCCCGCGGCCGCGTGGCCGGAAGTTTGTAAACTGGGTGCGTGATGTCTAAAATCATCGTCTATGTCTAATACGTTTGCTAAAAGGCTTTTTGACGATCTTTCCTTGAGCTCTAATTCTCTAACTGTCGGAAGTCGTCTTGTCGGCGGAGTTATATCGCTACCGTTACCTGAAGGCCGTGACATTCTCAATACGCACGGTAGCCAATGTAGAAAAACTGTTTTTATCTGTAACAATAAATTTAATTTAATTTAAACGAATAAATTACAACGTTTCTCTATCCCGTTGCCATAATAATAATAATAATAATAATAATAAATTAATTAAGCACCTACAATTATTATTATTATTATTAATAATAAGAAGTTAATCCTCGTTTCCATTTTATAAAATCATTGAATTTTTATGTCATTAACGTTAATTGTACGTAATAATTTTA